CTACCTCTGGATTCAGACACGGCTGCAGCGGCCAGAATTTATGCCCACCTGCCACTTTTATGAGGCCCCTGCTCTATTTGTCTTGTTAGGGACAATTTATGCTTCTATTTACCTTGCTCAGGAGAGGAAAGAAGCCCCCGAGGTAGGATGAGTGCCGCCTGAGCCCAAATGCCCACCCACCCAGCAACCCAAAGCCCAAAGCAGCTGCTGCCCAGCCGGCCAGCAAGGAGACTCCCCTCCCGCTTGGATCCCGCACTGCTGGGACCTAGAGAGGAAGCTCGGCTCAACACACACACACACACACACACACACCACCCACCAGCATCCCTGGCGACAGCCCTTGGAAGGCATACGATCCCCACCCAACTGATTTTCGACCACCAACCCACACAAAGCTGCAGTTCCCTTTCCTTGACCCGTTGCGGTGAATTGCCACTGCTGCCCTGTCCCCAAGGCGGGATTCCCTTGAGACCCAGTACACCAAGCAGCCCCCTGCCCTGCCAATGAACTTCCCAGCAGCGTGGATGCCAGCTTCTTCCCACACATCAGAGATCCAGAATGATGAGGAGCGAAGGCCATCAAGGCTTTGAATGAATTCAAGTCTCCTGGACTGGATGGATTATACCCCAGGGCATTACAGGAACTGAGGGATGTCATCTCAGAGCAACTGACTGAAATATTTGAGAAATTCTGGAGCAGGGGGAAGTGCCAGAAGACTGGAGACAAGCCAGTCTTGTTCCAATGTTTTAAAAAGGGAAAAAAGTGGACCCAGGAAGCGAAGACCAGTCAGCTTGATATCAATACCTGGGAAAATCCTAGAAAATATAAGAAAGCAGTGGGTTTGCAAGAGCTTAGGGACAAGGTGATTACTAGAAGGTGCACTTAGCACTTAGAAAGGGACAAAGACGATTACTATGTTAAAAACAGGTCATGCCAGACAAACCTTATTGCTTTCTTTGACAGTGTGGTTTGATTGGTGGACCAATTGGTGGACCTAATTTTAGTTTTATAGGTACTATTGGATTTATTCTCTACAGTGCCTGAGGGCAAGGGAACGAGGTAGAGGCCCTGCACTTAGAATTCAGTAAGGCATTTGATAAAGTAGACTACAGCCCCCTCCCTGATAAACTGGAACGGTGTGAGATGGACAGTCCCATTTCCCGTGCCCAGTAGCTTTCATAAATGACTTAGATGGGGGAGTAGAAGAGATGCTCATAGAATTTGTGGGTGACACAAAACCGGGTGGGATCGCTAACACCCTAGGAGACAAGCTCAAGATTCAAAAAGATCCTTACAGACTTGAATGCTGGTCCCTACCCATCAAATGTTGTTCATCGGTGAGAAATGTAAGGTTCTACACTTAGGCAGGAAGAAACAGATGCAGCAGTACAAGACGGGGGTTCTTGGCTCAGCAAAGGTACCTGTGAGAAGAATCCGGGTGACACAGATCAAGCGTGAGCCAGCAGTGTCTACCAAAAGAGCCTGTGTATCAACAGAGGCATGGTGTCGACATCACAGGAAGTGATCGTACCACTATCTGCTGCACTGGTCAGACCACACCCGGAAGACTGTGTCCAGTTGTGGTCACCACACTACAAAAGGGATGCAGAGGAACTGGAAAGAGTGCAGAGAAGAGCAACAAGGATGATGAGGGGGTTTGAGGCTAAATCCCCCGAAGAGCAAGGAACGTGGTGTGTTTAGCCTAAAGAAGAGAAAGCTGAGACATTATAGCACTCTTCCACTACCTGAAGGGAAGTCACAGGGCAGACATTGTGGATTTATTCTCTGCAGTGCCTGAGAGCAGAACAAGAACCAACAGGTGGATGGTTACAGAGGGAGATCCAGGCTCCAAATCAGGACGAATTTCCTGTCTATGAGACTGTGAGTAGAACAGCCTGCCTTCTGAAGTTGGGGGTGCTCCACAACTGGAGGCTTTCAAAAAAGATTGGACAGCCTTCGTCCAGAATAGCATGAGGGTTCCTGCAGTAGGCAAGAGGGGGTTCTGGTTAGAGCAGACACTGAATCGGCTCACTGGCCAGAAGGCTACCAAGTGGGGAGGAATGTAGATCCGGGGGCAAAATTAAGGGGGCCTCCACAGTCACATTACCAGACCTCACTGACCAAACTTCCCCAGAAGGGGGGGTACCAAGGTCACTTTTCCACCATGAACCCTTCTGTGTTTTCTTGTGTAACAGAAAATCCATAAATGGAGGGGAAAGGGATTAGGAACACTATGTTGAGAGGTGGCATCGCCTAAGCTGTGTCATAAGAAACAAATGTTCCATTTTGTCCTGTTCCTCCTAGACTTCAACTGGAACTCAGGACCCAGTTCTGGGTTTGCACCTTAAGGAGGCTGTAAAGGGCCAGGGTTCCAGAATCCACTCCCCCTCAGAGAAGATAGTGAAGATGGCCAGAGAACCTGGCAGAGAAAGGTTGAAGGAACAGGGTCTGCTTTAGCATAGGGAGGAAGACTGTAAGGAAGCCCGAGAGCTTTCTTCAGCTCCTGAAAGGGCAAAGCATTCGTGCAGGCTTCCACAGAGGTAGAACTTAGATAAAGGCTACAGGAAGACGGATTTCAGTTGTGGTAGGATAATGTTCTGATGATAAGACTAATGGCGGTGTTCACTCTTCCTCCCTGGCGGCCTTCAGACTGTGGGTGGAAAGCAGCCTCTTGGAATGGCCCTCTTGCAACATGCAGAATGGTGTCCACCAAGGATGATCCAATTCCAGCTTCTGAGGATTCCGAGAGGGCTATTTTTGGCCTGAACAGCTCAGATGTAGCAAGCAGAAGTGCCATGGCAAGATGTACCTGCTGCACTTGCATTTTGTCCAAATGTCCGTGCTTATATTGTTGCAGCTCAAAGGGTCACCAGCGAGCTCACTCAAACAACAGCTTAAGAGAGAAACCACAGCAGAACCAAGTTACGAGGCTACCACTGCTCGTTGTGAAAGACCTCCCTGGCCTGTTGGGCTCCTGAGAAGAGAAACTTTGCCACAGCAGGGACATTTCCCCCAGAAACTTCTGTAGGTAAGTGGGATCATGCTAAAAATACACAAAGCTCTTTGAGGATAAAACTACTCAGATTCAGGCTGACTTGTACACTTTTGACACAGTATCAAGTAACATGTCCAGTGTTGTCCAGTTATGTGGGATCTCACTTTCCATTTTTGAGGCCTGGGGATGTAGACAAGATTCTTACAGCTACCTGGCCTACAACATGTTTACTTGACCCTTTCCAGTCTTGGCTTATTCAGGGAATGACTCGGTGGACACAGGGATGAGGAAACCCATCTCGTCAATCACGTGTCTAGTCCTAAGAAGCCTCCTTGGATCCAGAGCATCATATCAAATGCCATCCACTCACAGTACCACTTCTGGGAGCCAGATGTGAGAAAGAGCACTGCCTGGGCTCATTTCAGCCCATTTCCATCAAGGTTCAGGCCTAGTTTAGGGACCTGACCTTCTCTGGTTATGCTGATGGATGCCCTCCTGCAGGGAAGAGACAGTGGAGGACAACCCTTTTGGCTTGGACGTCTCTCCCTGCATCCTTGATATTACGGGACAAGGTGCTCTTCTAAAATGCCTTCGTGGGATGGAGGATCAGCACACTCCACTCTCATGTCAGGGATGGTCTCAGAGAGAAGCATGGGATGACTGAGCCTCCTCACCCTGGTAGTAATATTATGGGATGCCATAGGGAATTACTGTAGGCCTCTACAAAGAAATTTAGATTTGCCTTAACGGAAAAGCTTCACACTGCAGAAGCCAGGTGAATCTCTTCATGGAAGGAAAGAGGAAGCACAATCAGCCCTGATGATACTCTCACACTTCGCACACCTCTCTTCCCTCTCGGCTACTACCACACAGAAGCTGGAAGAGACCTTGGTGCAACCACTGTTCAGTGCAGAAACCTCTCAGGTTTTCCAGCGCAAGAAGTTACAGAAGGGCCTGCAGAGCAGAGCAAAGTGAAGCATCGTGGCGTTTCAATTTGATCTTTGAAGAGAAGAGGCTAGGTTGCATTGCAAAACAGTTTTGGGGAGCACAGAACTCCGCGAGAGTTTCCTTGAAGATCTGCATGCTTCCTTCTCCATGATACTCTTTATGAAGCCACTGGAAATTGATCTCAGGAGAAGGGCAATAACGTACCACCAATATGCTGATGAGCCCAGCTCCTCCAGAACATCTCAGTCAGGAAAGGGTGTGCACGACCTGAACCAGCGCCTAGATTTAATGATGGGTTGGAGGGGGGCCAATAAGCTAAGATGAAGCCTGAGAAGATGTCGGCCTTATGGGCGCTCATCCCCTCGTATTTAGATTTCTGAAATGTGGCCTATGTGGGGCTTGTCCAGAATGCAGCACCTGGTCTGGCACATGCCTATGCACACCGCAGCCAGTTTCCAGGTTTTATTACTGGCATATAAAGCCTGAAAAGCCAAACTGAGACCCCAGCCAGGGTCCCACCCCATTTTCTCCCCCCCCCGCACGATCACTAAGACCAGCCAGGGAGGCCCCCCCAGCGGGGACTACCAACAGTGGATTGCCACATGTACTTGCATTTCCATGATGTGCTGCTTCGTCCCTTGATTTGGCAACCTTTTAAACCCAATAGATTTTTATTAAGTATTATTATTGGGAGGTTACTTCTGGACAGAAATTTTGGTGGTGCTATGTATTGTTCCGGAAGCCGTCCCTCTCAAAATTTGAGGAGCTCGCGGTAGCAATCCATCTTTACATCCACACCTTCCCTGTGGGAATGGCAAAGATTGTTCCTCTTCTCCTTATGGAATCCAAATGCTTCGCTAGTTTTTGCTTCTTTTTCAGCAGGCTGGTTCCTTGCCACCAGCAGAGGTGGGCGTGTGCGACCAGCCACCCCAAGGAGGGCCCAGCACAGCTGCCCCTTGGCCCTCTCCCCTTTGGGCTGAAAGACGCCCCGGTTCAGCCAGCACTGACCGCACAGGGATGCCCCCCGCCCGCTCACCCGCCCGCAGCTCTCCGCCAGGACCAAGGGAGGTCGGGTCAGCGCCGGAGCAGACCAGGACCAGCTCCTCCCGGGGCTGCTGCTGCCGCCGCCCTCCAGGGCCCGCCGTCCCCGCGGGCCTCCACTCTTCCAGCCAAGTGAAATTGGTTCTTACCCTAAAGGACCAGCTACCTGGGATTTTGTGAGGCCATTAATTATCTCCTGCTAATTAAATCAAAATTAAATTTGAGCAGAGGTGTGCTTTCCTTAAGATGATTAAACAGAATGCAGAGATTCACAAATACAGAACAACCTTGGGATGAAGAGAGAAAAGCAATCATATAAAAGCTCGTCCTTAATGAAGGCACTTTGGTGTTTGCTCCAACTCATAAAGCCCAAGTTCATCAATTTCTTTTAAATAGTAGCAACTTAATTAAATCTGTTTTTCCCCTTTAATCCCCTCCTCTATCTAAAATAGATCTGTCCAACAAGCACAACTTTGTAACTCATGCTGACCCCATAATTCTATTTTAAAAACACAAAAATCCGCATCCAACTGACAGGGGCCCTCCAGGGAAATTCTGTTTCAGAAAAAGGATTAGCGTGAATATCCAGATTTTATGAAAATGTTACCGGCCCTCTTTGCTGAGCCTGTGCGTGGGAGGGGGGCGGGTGACAGGCTCCTCCAGCAGGGGGCGTGCTGATCAGTGGGGGGGGAGTGGAGGGGAAGGCTGTTCCTGGTCCTGCCAGCAGAAGCGGGGGAGCGCTCCCCGTGCTCCGCTGCCCCCCGTCTTCTGCACAGCTTGGGTGTTTTCTGGGGGCTGCAGCTGCTGCGGCAAATGACGTGGAGAGGGCTGCAAAATGGGTGAGTTTTGGGTCCCCGGGTTCATTTAGGAAATGAGGTGGTTGCTAAGCTACCTCTGGAAGTTGCTGAGGCCAGACACTTCGAGTCACCCCCCGGGGAGCTGGGCGCTAGCTGGAACTACCTTGCCCGGCTGCACAGGAGGAAGCCGAGCCAAGTAACGTGGGGCCCACGCCCCTCCCCGCCACCTGATCTGAATCCAGTGCGGTGGCTCTCTCCCCCTCCCCGCCCCCCCGCTGCCTTTACCTTCCCCACGTACAGTGGCTCTGTGCCCGTGTACTCCTCCACCACGAAGAACTGGTTCCAGACCCAGCCACGTTTCACACGCCCAGTGCCTGGCAGACCACCGTCCCCAGATGTCCCCAGGCCGGACCCCCCAGATGCCCCCAGCAGGGACTGGGCTGTGGGCGGACGGTCTGGGGCACAGAGAAGGCACAGCAGCAGCAGCAAGAGGCCACTTCTGGAGGGGCGAAGGGGCACCATCACTGCAGAGTCCCGGGAGCAGGGAGGGGGCCCGCGGGCATCCTCGGGGAAGAAAGGGGAGCCCCCAGCCAGCGCCGTGGGTCAGTCATCCGCAGGAGGCAGGGCCTGCAGTCTTGGGGGCAGCTCCGCTTCTCAGGCTGACAAATGGGGAGGATCACAGGCTGGCCCCAATCCCTTCTTCCGGGCAGAGGCAAGCAGGCGGGCATAGGGCAGAAGGAAGCCTGCCACGTGCTCCGCACGGTGCAGAGGAGACTCCCTTCTTTCTCCACGCCGAAAGATCGCCTGGGACCGGCCACCGGGCGGCTACCTCCAAACCGGCCCAGCGTTGCCCCAAAAGGGGGGTGGACGTGCGCGCCAGCCTCTGGGCTCCAGCCGCAGTTGACTCCTCGCAGGCAGCCGGTGGGCACAGAGCCCCATCAGAGCAATTGTCTGGAGCGCCGAGCAGAGTCAGGCCACGGCCAGGCTACAGCTGCTGATTGCAGGGGGACCGCTGAGGCTTCATGGCTTCCGCTGGCCGGGCCACTCCAGCCCCCGTTCTCCTTGGGTCACGGGGGCACAGGGCAGCAGCATCCTCCCCCGGCACCTGGGGAAGAGACAGAGCACCGTCTGCGGAGGCATGCCAGGCCCGGGCCAGCGCCTCCTCCTGAGGACTCAAGCAGGCACCCTGTCCTCCTACCGCCCCCTTACTGGAGGCCCCCCAGAGCCCCGCTTCCCGTGCCAGGGAGGGCCCCACCTGCAGATTTGCTTCTTCAAACACAACCGGAAACCCGGAGGGACCCTCCCAGG